AAAATCTGGAAGAGCAGTGCAGCAGTTTGGAAGCGAAAATACATTCCAGCTCTTATCTTTAAAAGACTGCAACTAAACTACCAGAGCTTTTGCCTGCAAATATATTTAATTGGAGAGCATGAATGGTGACACCCAGCCCATGAATGTGCTCAATTGAAGAATGTGGTTTATGAAACACCTGTGGGGGGCGGGGGAGAGGGGAAACAGGGTCACAGGGGACTGTAAATTACGTATGCCATGGTTGGCTTCATACAGGGCAGTGCCAGTATGTCACCTCTAATGAATCCTTTGAAGTTTTTTGAAGTTTGGCTCGAGAATCATAATTTAATTAGGGCGATTGCTGGAATCCTGACAACTGCATTCTCTACCACTGCACCACCACGGCTCAACACCGTATCCTATGCATTTCTTTATCTAAACTATCCTGAAGGTGTTAAGACACGTCAGCCTCCCCCCCTCCCAAAAAAGCTGGAAACTTCTGCCAGATTTAGAAGTGAGCTGCCTGGATAGAAATATACAACCAAGATCCAGTGGTTGCCTTTCAGTTCACATCTGCTACGCATTAGGATTTCCTTTAAAAAAAGAGCAAGACTGCTTTCTTAATTTTTTTTTTCTTGAGGGGAGATAACTGGAAACACAAAACCCAGTTTGCAGGGCCACTGTGAGACACAGAGGAATGTTAGGTTGGCAAGGAAACGTTGAGAGAAATTGTCCCGTCACATCTGGAGGGTGGGGAAGTTGCCTTTGACACTTCCAAGACTGGGTTGGAGAGTTTCAGCAGGGATTTTACAGATTCCATCCGTCCCTAAAATATAACGCCAAAAAAAAAAAAAAACACACTAACTTCTGGCTGGGTTTGCAGAGAACACCATGCTTGGTTTCTGTAAACGATTGTCGGGTGATCATGCAAGCCCATAAGCCATAAAACACCCTGGCCAGATTCTCACAATCGTTTGCCAATTGTCTCTGGAGATTCTTAATCCTCCAGGGTCATGGTTGTCCCAAACGTGCTTTTTCAAAAGGCAAGTTTTTCCTTTGAAGTTTCGCTCCTCATCCAAGAAGCTTCTTCAGTTCTGACTGAACTGGAGAAGATTTATATTCCTTGCAGGCAGCGGATCATTTGCATTCTTTTTCAGAGAGTTGTTGAGGCCACTTGGAAGTTTATCTGTGCCCTCAAGGTCACCTGGAACAGTGCAAATGGGTGTGGAAGCTTCTTGGGACTACTGAAAGGACTGTTGTAAACAGGAGGTAGATGTTGTCATATCTGCGTTGAGAGGGCTGTTCAATTTTGACATATGAACCTGTTCTGTCTCACCTGTGACCACGAGGTGAGAGTCCAAGTTTCCAAAGGGATATAAATAAACAGACAGGAACAGGAACGACAGAGTTAAATTCCTTTGGCTGCAGAAGTCCTTGGCAGTCTTCCACAAGCTGCCTGCCAAGTCCAATAATAAAACAAGACCATAAATCAAAGGCAAACGCCGCACAGAGAATTTGTCAAAGCTTCTATCCCAAATAAACAAGTTGTCCCGAACGAGGATCCAGAGCTAACACGCCCCCTTTTATTCCCTGAGGGGCGTGTCAGTCTCTCATCTCAGTCCCTAATTTGACATTTCCTTTTACGTTGCATTTCACGTCTATGTCTACGTCTTTGCCTTGCATCAAACCAACACTCCTCAGTTTGATCCTCAGCCAGAGGCTCCGCTACGCTCTCCTGATTATCTGCCGACACCTGAGGCACAACCAAGGAGGAAGGTCCTGGGGAGGAAGATAATTCCGAATCCTCCAGCAAAGCAGGCTCAAACCTCAGAGCCAAATCCTCCTCTTCCTCATGGCTCAAGTCTGTGTCTTCTAACAGGGCAGGCTCAGACCTCCGAGTCACACTATGGCACGCCTGCCACAAGTGGCACACAGAGCCATTTGTGCCGCCACGCGAGCTGCAGCAAACTTACCTCACTGCGCATGCACGCGCCTCACAGCTGATTTTTTCTGCTGGTTTCAGGGCCCTTTTCGGCCTCCCATAGACTTGGAAAAACCTCCGCAAGGCTTTTTAGGACGAATTATAGGCCCGCTTCGTCACTTCCTGTAATACCAGAAGTGACGAAACGGGCCTATAATTCAGCCTAAAAAGCCTTGCAGAGGCTTTTTCCAAGCCTCTGAGAGGCTAAAAAAGGCCTCAAATCAGCCGGGAGGCACAGTGCAGGTAAGGGAGTGGCGGGTGGGGGATTGTGCGCGCATGCGGAGGTGGCGTGGGGGGACGTGCATTGCATTCTGGGTGCTGGCACACGAGCGCGCGCGTGCGCATGCAATTTTTGGCACAGGAGCCCCAAAAGGTTAGCCGCCACTGCCTTAGACTTATATACCGCTTCCCAGTGCTTTGCAGCCCTCTCTAAACATTTTACAGAGTCAACCTATTGCCCCCAACAATCTGGGTCCTCGTTTTACCGACCTCAGAAAGATGAAAGGCTGAGTCAACCTTGAGCACTGGTGAGATTCAAACTGCCCAATCTGAGGCAGCCAGCAGTCAGCAGAAGTAGCCTGCAGTACTGCATTCTAAGCACTGGGCCACTACGGCTCTAGGTGGCCTCTTTGAGCCCTCTTTCAAACCATGCTTTCAAACCTCTTCAAGCAAAAGAAAATCCAGCTGCCTGTTGGAAAAGCACCTTTGGGAAGTTACGTGTATAAGTAATCCTTGACTTCCAGTCATTCTGTCAACGTTCCAGAAAAACCCAGCTCCAATTAAAAATTAACTCCGAGACAGGCATTTCCTCCAAGTTTCCTTTTATTAGAGTGGTTTATACTGGCACACCTTGGAAAACCCGAATCTGAAAGTTCCGGGTTTCGATAAGAAAAAAAAATTACAAATCCACCCCCTGCACCCCTCATGGCACCACATGCCCCAATCGCCATTCACCCCAACTTGAGACATCCCCTCGACTCCTCCTCACCCAGGTGCAGAAATAACATGACCTTGACTTTAAAGAAGAATGCTATTATTGTTCTGACCAAGGATTCCGAGACCGTCATTACGCACACGCTTATTTTAAAAACAAGTCTTGTTTTATTGCAACGCTGGGAATGATTTTCAATCCCAGCCGGTAATGAATCTCAAACAGTCCCTCGAGATAAGCACCCACCTTTCTTTGCTGTGAAGTGCTGCCAATAACAGAAGTGTCAAATAAACTAGGACAAAAACCAACCGAAGAACAAAGAGCTTCAAGAATGAGTCTGAACCAAATGAAAGACTTTGCTTCCTGCAAAGGTTTCATCATCTTTGCCTGTCCTTTATACCTTATGGGAGGGGCAATCACCTCCAAGCCTTACTCTCGAATCGCCCCTTCTGCTTCAGCTTGCTCTCGCCTTCTGGCAGCTCTGCGCATACGCACACTAGGAACAGGCTCCCCTGGGTCCTCTGCCTCACTGCTGCCAGACTCTGAAGGCTCCGGAGGCAGCACCCCGCTCCCAGATGGTCCTGGCCCCATCACTGCATCAGAGGCAGGACCCTTGTCCAAGTCCTCTCCAGACTCCCTGACTGATCCCCGTTCTTCCCCACTGTCCGATTACGCTGCCGTCTGCGCAAGCTAACCACAACAATTATGTCTAACCACATACGCTCCATGAATTCCCCTCTCCCAACTTCCCATGCTCAAGAATGTGGCGGCGTGGAAGCTTCTGGTGTTAATATGGCTTCCAAAGCTGACACATTCGTTTAGTGGCCGTTCAACCTTACAACGGCGCTGAAAAAAAGTGACTAATGAACGGTGCTCACACTTATGACCTTTGCAGCATCTCCAGTCATATGAGCAAACTTTGGGTGTCAGGCATGTATGGTTACAGCCTCCTTTGGGGTCACAGGATCGCCATTTGCAACCTGCCTAGGGAGCTTCTAACAAGCAAAGTGTCAGGATTCCGGCAGTTGCCCCAATTAAATCATGAGTCTCGAGCCACACTCCCAAAATGTTTTATGAGTTGACACAAAGTGCATGAGGGAAGCAGGACTCGCTTAACAACTGCATACTTCGCTTAACAGATGTAATGATTCACTTAACAACCATGGCAAAAAAGGTTGTGATATTTGAACATGACTCAGTTACTCTAACAATGTGTTTGTCTAGCAATAGAAAAATTGTTTAGCAATGGGAAATACTGTATTTATAGTGCACGAGTCAAAAACAGGGATGTGAAAATATTTACAGACCCCTCACATCCCGGACATAAACTGTTTCAACTCCTTCCCTCAAAACGACGCTATACAGCACTGCACACCAGAACAACTAGACACAAGGATAGTTTTTTCCGGAATGCCATCACTCTGCTAAACAAATAATTCCCTCAACACTGTCCAACTGTTTACAAAATCTGCACTACCATTACTGTTAATCTTCCCATCACTCCTTATCACCCATCCCCTCCCACTTGTGACTGTATGACTGTAACTTTGTCGCTTGTATCCTTATGATTTATATGGACTGTTTCCTAGTATGATTTGATTGCTTATTGTACCCTAATGACTATCATTAAGTGTTGTACCTTGTGATTCTTGACTCTTGACGAATGTATCTTTTCTTTTATGTACACTGAGAGCATTTGCACCAAAGACAAATTCCTTGTGTGTCCAATCACACTTGACCAATAAAAGAATTATATTCTGTTCTGTTCTGTTCTGTTCTATTCCCATTCTATTCTATTCTATTCTAAAATTTGGCTTCTCATCATTCCTTATCACCCATCCCCTCCCATTTATGACTGTATGACTGTAACTTTGTCGCTTGTATCCTAATGATTTATTTTGACTGTTTCCTAATATGATTTGATTGTTTATTGTACCCTATCATTAAGTGTCGTACCTTATGATTCTTAACTCTTGACACATGTATCTTTTCTTTTGTGTACGCTGAGAGCATTTGCACCAAGACAAATTCCTTGTGTGTCCAATCGCATCTGGCCAATAAAAGAATTCTATTCTATTCTAAAATTTGGCTTCAAGTTCCAGTCGTAAGTCAAGGGCTGCCCGTAAACCCAATCCCCTGCGTCATAACGTAACTCCAGAAATGAAAACTGACCTGCCATTTCCTGGTTTCGTCCTCCTGCTGGTTCAACAGGAAGTCATCCATCAGAGTCACCGCCTGGGAACAGGTGTCTGCTCCTTGTGCTCGGATCCAGCTCTGGAGGTCCGATGGGAGGCTGACCAGGAACTGCTCCAGGATCAGCAGCTCCAGGATCTGCTCCTTGGTGCGTCTCTCCGGCTTCAGCCACTGGTGGCAAAGCTCCTGGAGTTGGCTGTGGATCCTCCGGGGATCTTCCGCTTCCCGGCAGCAGAACTGCCTGAAGTACTGGCGTTGGGCCTCCATTTTGATGGCTTCCTCTCTCAAAATGGCGGCCTTCACTTTGGTGTAGTCTTCCCGGTCTCTGGGTTCCAAGCTTTGGAAAGCCTCCTCAGCTTCTCCGCTCAAAGCAGGGAGGAGACGGGCTGCCCACTCTCCTCTGGGCCAATGGCAGGCTTGGGCCACCTGCTCAAAGGAGGCCAAGAAGGCCTTGGGGTCTTCCCAGGGGGAGGCCTCTGACGGAGTAAGATGTCCTGCCCCGGGTTGACTGGGCTGAAGGGTCCTGAGGAACTCTTGCCACTGGGTTTCCCAGCGCTGTTGCATTGTCTTGCAAGTCTCCCTTTGGCCCTCTTGGGATCCGGGCCCTTGTAAACTGTCTGCCGTATATTCCAGCCGAACGGCACAGCTCAAATTTTTGACATCTTCTGGTCTTTCGTGACGGGACCTGGTGGTTCCTTGCCTTCCTTGTTTCATCTCTTTTTCTGCTTTTGTCAATCCTGGCCAACCAAATTTAAGCCACAGGTCTTCTGGAAAACAAGATGGTAGGCAGATGGGCTCACTTCTAAACTTCCGAATGGTGCCGGAGATCTAGCTAGCCCTAGTGGTAATCCTGGACTTTCGACCACAATTAAATTATGGTTTATACATGGCTGATACTAAGCCTGGTTGATATGGCCACAGTGGCCAGAGACACACCATATCTTATGGTATCCTATATCATCATCATTTTAATTATTGTCTATCCACTACGGAATGAAGGCCTCTTCTACATGTTTCCAATCTATACGTTCCTGAGCGTTCTTTTGCTAATTGGGCCTGCAATACTTGCTATATACAACCCATTATGGTTTGGTACCAAAGTTCACTTCAAACAGGTAAGATGCAACACCATCTGGCTTTGGCTTTGCCATCACAGTCTGCAAATGGTTGGCTGAAAGGTTTGCAACATATTCATCAAATCCTGACAGGGCTGCCCTCCTTTTCTTTCGTTCCTTCCTTCCTCCCTCCCTCTCTCTTCTTTTCCTCCTTTCCTCTATTCCTTCCTTCCTTTCCCTCCATCCTCTCCTTTTCTTCCTTTCCTTCATCTCTCTCTCTCTCTCTCTCTCTCATATATATACATATACATATACATATACATATACATATACATATACATGTACATGTACATGTACATGTACATATACATATACACATACACACACACACACACACACATATATATGTGGACACAATACAGAAGCCGGACACAATACAGAAGCCTGATGATGGCAGATGAGATTCTGCCGAAACGTTGCTACAACTTTAAAAGCACAACTATAATGACGTGGGAAAATACCCGAACAATGCTGAATACCATATATATATATATATATATATATATATATATATATA